GAATTTTTATTGATGGCAAACTCTGCCAATCAGTCTTCAAACTTCATTTAAATTTAGTTTTATCAAAGCAAATTTTATCAAAAATGCAGGGGTGGGTCCAGCATTTTTTGGTGTTTGAGATAACTTCCTGACATAGAGCAAACACCAAAAATGTATATGTTTATACTTATGTCAAATAAGAATACTTTGCAAAAAATTGAGATGATTGGAGCCTGGGAACTAAAAAGCTGTTTGAGGTAGTTGTGGTTTTACATTTTTGGCCACAACTACCCCAAACCTGAGAGCAACAAGTTGACAAAATATTTTTTATACTATTCTTAACTAAATTAATATTCATCAATAAATTTTAAATTTTATACATCAATATTTTAACATTCAGAAGTTATGACTGTATAAAATTTTAACCCCCTCAAATTGAGGGGGATATAAATTTTATATGATCATAATTTTTAATGCAAGGAGATTATAGTATGAAATTTAAAATTTATTGATGAATATAACTTTAGTTGAGAATAGTAAAAAAAATATTTTGTCAACTTGTTGCTCTCAGGTTTGGGGTAGTTGTGGCCAAAAATGTAGGACCACAACTACCTCAAACGGCATTTTAGTTCCCAAGCTCCAATTATCTCAATTTTTTGCAAAGTATTTTTATTTGACATAAGTATAAACATGTAACATTTGACATAAGTATAAACAATGTTTGGAGTTTGTTCCATATCTGGAAGTTAGTTATCTCAAGTAACAAAAAAGCTGGATCCGCCCCTGGTATGTATATATGTGTATATGTATGTATGTTAACTTTATAATAACACATAACTACTTTTCTGCGAAACTCGCAGAAAAGTAAAAGTAATTTGTAAAAGCTATTATTTCATTAATAAAATAAAAGCAAAGTTTTCTTACACTATTAAAATGGAAAAAAATCATAAATTTATATATTATTACTCGGTGTAGTTAAGGCAATTTTAAAATATTATAATGTCAGTATGATGTTTTGTTGACTACGACATATTTCTGTTAAATTGAAATATGTTGTTGTCAACATAGTATCATACAGACGCTATAATATTTAAAATCAGGTCTGTGAATTATGAAAAGACGAAAAAAATTAAAATAATAAGTTTTGTAGTATCGCTTCTCCAAATTTGAATAAGATTTTAAATAAATACATTTTTTAAGTCAAATTTATATCATAGTTTAATAATATGATCTGTTCTGATTGTTTATTGGTAGTTTTTCTTAATTATAAGCTTTTTCTTGGTCGGAATTTTAGTACTTTTTGTGAAAATTAATAGAAATATTGTATTTTGACAACGGTATCTAATTAATATATGTCAGAACCGATTAGAACTTGGATATATAGTGGGTTAAGGCACTTTTTCAAAAGATTTTAACTAAGTTCATGTTAATGCTGATGAGCGAAAGTGATCTAATGATTTTAAAATGATGTTCTTCAGATTCACTATTAGGGGTAGTAAAAAGGTTTTGAAAATTATATATAAAAAAGAAAAGTTTCTTTAATAATTAAAAAAAACCTGAAGCAAACAAAATTATAATATCAAAAGCTCTTTTGTTTTGTTTGTTTGGACATAATACTCTGATAAAATCATACTAATTCAAAATAAAAGAATTCAAATAATTTGTAAATCGCTTTAACTACACTGAGTATTTAAATTTAAATTTTGATATTGTGTTATTTTGTTTTCACAGGAAGCTCAAAATATTATTGCTCTACAACAAGTTGATACACCTTTAAAAGGTGGAATTAACACTCCAATGTACACGAGTAATTTTGATGGTGCCACACCAAAACATCAGCAAATACAGACACCTAATTTAATGATTGCTACACCTTTTAGAACACCTGCTGATGGAGTGCAAGGTTTATCTGTTCTTTAATTCCCCAATCTTTTTGCTTAGATATGCATTATTCGTTTTTTATTGCTTTTATTGGTTTTATATTGCTTAAATATTTATTGAATTTTATTTCAATATTTAAACTATTTATATTATATTTTATAATAATAATTAAAATATCGAAATAAAATTCAATTTTATAATATTTATTGCTTTATAGATTTTTAAATAAAATTTTATTTTTAATCTTAATTGAGTTTATATCAAATTGAATTTTTTTTTTTTAATTTTGATATTTATAGCAGTATATAAATTTCTAGGTTTTACACCGCGAAACACTCCACGTCTTGGAGGAGTATCCCAAGGAATGACTCCAGGAGCATCAGTTAGGGACAATTTAAACATAAACAGAGACGACATATATGAAAATCAAATGGAAATAAAAACTCAACTAAAAGCAGGATTACAGAGTTTACCCAAACCAAGCAATGATTTCGAAATTGTTGTACCAGACGTAAGTTATTTCTCAGTTAAAATGTTATACCAGACGTAAGTTATTTCTTAATTAAATTGTTTTACCAGACCTAAGTTATTTCTTAATTAAATTGTTGTACCAGACCTAAGTTATTTCTCAGTTAAATTGTTATACCAGACGTAAGTTATTTCTTAGTTAAATTGTTATACCAGACGTAAGTTATTTCTTAGTTAAATTGTTGTACCAGACGTAAGTTATTTCTTTAGTTAAATTGTTGTACCAGACGTAAGTTATTTCTTTAGTTAAATTGTTGTACCAGACATAAGTTATTTCCTAGTTAAAGTTTAAAAAAAGCAGCGGATTCAAAATGGCGTTGATCTTTATATTTGTTACTAATTGTTAATTTTAGAAGTTTGAAATAGATATGGATGAAAACGTTGATACAGGTTTTGTCGAAGATGCATCTGATATAGAGTCAAAAAAACTTTTAAAGATGAAAGAACAAGGTCTTTAACAGTTTTTAAAATTTACGATATTATTCTCTATAATAATGTTTTGTTATTATTAACGCTTGTTAATTTAATTACAGAAGCTGCAGAATTTCGAAGACAAGCAATGGCTGTTCAAAGAAACTTGCCACGTCCCTCTGATGTAAACACTTCAGTATTACGACCAGACGAAATGAGGAGAGATCTGAATCTTTATCAGGAAGTAAGTTGATATTAATTTTGTTGTTTCTATATTTTTAACCAATAATTTATTATTGTATATATTGTATATACATTGTGTATATTTGTGCGGTTATATTTCAGGCAGAAGAAATGATAAAAGCTGAGATGGTGCATATGTTACGACACGATATTGTTCATCATCCGACAGAGCACCAACTTAATATGCTTGGACTTAAAAAAGCAAGTGCATCTGTACAAACGGTAATTAATGCAAATAAGCGCGTTCTTGAAGAATCGCCTTTAGAAAAAATTTCTGATAAAGATATGGAGGCAGCACGTTCTTTACTCAATGAAGAAATTGAAGTTGTTAAAAAGGCTATGGCACATGGCGATCTTTCTATTGATGTGTATACACGAGTTTGGGAAGAGTGTTATGGCCAGGTACTAAGAACTATTTAGATCTTTGTATATATACAGATTAAGCGATGTTCATATTTTTTTAATTTATGTATTATGTTCTAGTTATTGTATTTACCAAACCAACAACGTTATACTCGTGCCGCTCTTGCCAGTAAAAAAGATCGTCTGGAATCGCTTGAGAAACGTCTTGAGGTTTGTGGAATTATTATTTACGATTATCAATATAAAAAGATGTTGCAATAACAATTATTGCATTCATTTAGCATTAAATCAAATGAATATTTGTTTTTACACAACTAAATTTGTGTTATTCAACATACTATTTATATGTATGTTTTTTATTTGATAAAGATTAATCGATTGCACATGACAGAAGATGCTAAAAAGGCTACAAAACTTGAAAAAAGGCTTAAACTTTTACTCGGAGGTTATCAGGTGACGTGGTTATTATTTTTATTTGTACATAAAATTAAAAAAAAAAGTGTGAATAGTAATCTGATTTCTGTACTTGCTTTAAATAGTCCAGAGCTGTTGGTTTAAGTAAACAAATCTCTGATCTCCATGATCAAATCGAACAAAGTCGAATTGAAGCAGAGACGTTCGAAATGCTACATAAACAAGAACTTCATGCAGTTCCAAGACGTATTTCAGTAAGTTATTTCTCATCATTTATTATTTTTTGTCGTTTATTGTATTAATTTATTGTAATTTTTTTAAAGAACTTAGTTATATAAGATTTTATTGTTTATTATTCAAGGCTTTAGAAGAGGACGTTGTTCGTCAAACAGCTCGTGAACGCGATTTGCAGCAAAGATACTCTGATCTGCTTTATGAACGCGATCGATTGGTACAACTTACGACAAGTAGCTCGACAACAACTTAATTGCAACGCAAATCAATTGCTTTAAAAAGCTGCTCGGTTTCCGCCCACATTTATGGTTTTTACCAGTGATATTGAACAGTTTTGAAGAACTTTATAAACCTAATCCCTCTTTTTAAAAGTTGTTAGAAATTTTTAAAAAGTCTTTGTTTGATATCACTGGCTTAGAAAATTTTAATGATTAGAGATTCTTAAATTTCTTTGAAAATTTTTATAAAAATCAATTATTCAAAATATGTATTAATAGCATTTTAATTTCTGACTCGTTGCATAAATCTGAATACTCAAATAACAACTATTTAATAGTTATTGTTTAGTGATTGTGTTTAAGGTAGTCATATCTTATTTGGATTTTTAATTTAAAAAGTCTTATCAAAATTTGGTTGCAACCAAATAACTGCGTTGTCACACCTTGTAACTTTCAGAATTTTATTTTGTTTCAGTATTTTAAATAAAATGACCAAAAAAGTAAAGCGACATAATGTAAATACATTTTAAATATTTAGAAATCTTTTTAAAGACCCTTTCTTAAATGAGAGTTTTAACCAGGGGTGTGGATCGTAAAAAAAAAAAGAGGTTTCGTATGAATATAAGGTTAATTGAATGTTTTGTACATGCACGTGCAAAACCGAGAGGTTTTACTATTGGAGTCGGAATCGCGATTTTGTTTAGCGACTCCCACTCCGATGAAAATGTCGCAACTCCGACTCTAACTCCACAGCCCTGGTTTTAACTTTTAAAATGGCGATGTTAGGTGAAAATTATAGACTATTTTTGTTCTTTAAATATTAATTATTATCTTAAAAATACTATAAATAAAAAATGTTTTTAAGTGTTTTATAACTACTTTATTTAAAAAATAATCCCGCTCCTTCGTTTCCTAGCAAAAAGCTACAATTTTAGCGAAAATATTTTGAATTCTATGTGCAAAATAAAGTATTTTTTTATATTCATGTTAATTTTTAACAAAAATAACGTCGTAAAATCATCTGCGCTAGTTGGATAAAAGTGTAAAATTTTAATTTATAAGCACAAAATTCATATGGTTTATAGTTTTCCATTTTATTTTTAAAATTTGCAGAAAGGCAAACCTTCAAAATGATACGGAACATTAATTGCACTCAATTCTTTTGTAAAGTATTTGCTTTTCTTCTTGTGTTTGAAATTCAATTAAAAAATTTTCATAGTTCAAAATTTTTAATAAAGTTAATAAAAACTCCGTAAAAAAAGTTTTAAACGCATGCTTTTAAAAACACAAATAGGCACCCAAATATGTCGAACGCTGTCAAAAGTGGTCTAGAATATATTCTAGAGTATTCTAGAATTCTTAGTATACTAAGAATACATTGATACTGAAACTAAAAAATTAATAGCATTTTATAAAAAGTTTGTTTTATGTGCTTGTTGTTGTAGTTAACAAAACAACTTAAAACAAGTTGTCTGTGATCTGTTAACTTTAAATGTTTTTTTTGAACGTTTTCTATGTTTTGAACGTTTTCTATGAGTTATTAAACAACATATTTATTTAAAATCTTATTCAAATTTGGGCAAGCAATCGTGATTTTGAGAAGATTTAAAAAAAAAAAAGAATCTTCGTTTGGGTTTCTTCTCTACAAATATTTTTATTTTATGTTACGGTAAAATTTATCATTTTAATTTATTTCGTCTATTCATAAATCTAGGCCTGATCTATTAACGGAAAAATGTTATGGTCAACAAAATATCATACAGCTGTATGAAAAAAATACTACTAAATACTTTAAAATATTACAGCGTCTCCACAGACACTGTAATATTTCAAAGTCACTTTAACTACACCAAGTAGTAGTATTTTTTAGCAGGTTGAAACTTCGCGCGAGTAAGATGTTTTTTCTTTAAAATAAAAAAAAAAAAAGAAATTACAATGAAAACTATTGAAAAAAATTATAGCAAATAAGTTAGAAGAACACAAAAAAAGCGTTATTAAAGGAACAGAAAAAAACATGAGGAAACCTTTACTAATATAATAAGTGGAAACCTCATAATTTTATCAAATAAACTTGACAAGATGGAGCAAGAAATTAATGACAACAAATTAAAAATTTCAAATATCAAGAAGGATTTAAATGACGTTAAAGTTAGCTTGCGTTTTCATAAAGCAAAATCCATGGAAAAAATAAAACACATAAAAAAATATTACGACAACAAAATAAATCTATATATACAAAAACTAGTGATTTTAGGCTATTTTTATAGTCAATATAAATTTTTTTTATTTTAAATAGATTGCATTCCTTAAAACACTAATGGCCTGGACTTTTTTTTTATTTTGTTATTTTGCCCCAAGAAGACCTATCGGTCTTGTCACAGTGAAGTGCATTTAACTATAAAGTTCACACCTCCTTCCTTACTGTGGCGCGAAATAATGTTCAGAGTTCCTTTCGAACCTTTATCTCCTGCTTCTTAAGCAAGCGCTCTAACCACTGCACCACGTCCACTTTTGAAGATATATTTTTTTAAAGTATCGGGTTAATTTTTTGGCACAGAACATTAAATTTTTTTTTTTGCATAAAATTAATCTGCAATAACAAATTTTTCCTAAAATTCGTTTAGAAATACAATAACTTCTAAACGAATTTTACAGCCGATTTTACAAAACGATTGGCACAGTGGTTAGAGTTCTGGCTCAAAACCCAGAGGCCGAGGTTCGACGCCAGCTCCAGTTCTACAAGCGACATTGGTACGAAAGGAGGTGTGAACTTCTTGGTAAATGCTCTTCCGCGGTGCTCTGTGATAAGACCTTAAGGACTTCTGGGAGCACCTATATAAACTACAAAAAATAAAAAATAATAAAAAGTTATGAATCCATATTATTTTAACCATTTATTTATATAACTTTTTTTGGTGATTTGCAAACACGGACCATTAAATGATCAATTAACAGTAAAATATGTTTTTTAAAATTTTTGAAGAATTTAAACGTTTTAAACAATGAAAGATTAAATGTTTCAATATTTAAAATGTTAAGTGAAACAATATTATTCAAAAGAAAAATTAATTTGAAAACAAAATTATTCAAAAAAAAAATTAATTCGGGGAAAAAATTAATTAAAACGGGGGAAATTGTCGAAATCACCAGTTAGAAAACAAAAAACCCATCCTAATTGCCCATGAGAAAAATTTTTAAAAATACATACACATTATTAATAAATAGTTTCAGAACCTACTTTCATGGGAAGACGGATGAATTGTCTAGTTTAACAGGTATTTTAACAAAGTTGAATCATTCAAAAGTAATAATAACTTAGCTTAAGGATATCCCTCCATTTCTGAACTCTTTTCTTTTTATATTTAAACTAATTTTTTTTTTGTCATATTTAAAATAACGTGTAGTTAAGCCTAACCCGTAAAGATTAAAAATATCAATAAATAATATAGAAATATCCTTTTAATTAAACAAAATGGGTACATATAAACGCATCAAATATATTTAATACCATTGAAAAAGATAAAAATTGCTTTACTCAAATGCAGTAAAAACAGATTATTAGAATATTTTTATTAAACTATAACATAACTCAAAATTATATTAAATAAAATTACCTCATTATCCTTGCTACAAAGAATAAGATCACCTTTTTCAAAATCAATTATAAAAGAAATAATCATAGTTAATCAGGTTCATTATCATGCTTAACATAGAATGTGGCTCGTTTTCCATTTATTTGATCAACTTGTACAACTTGCGCACGTTCCAAACATACTTATTTAAAAAAATAAATAATTTTTTTCTTTTTAAAAAATGTTGCATAGAAATACCTACAAAATCAGATAGATTTTTAAAATTTTTTAATAAGGAATGGTTTTTTTTGTTGCTTTATTAATTTGTCTTGCATCCTGAATTTTTTCATCAATTCTTTTTTTTTGCTTTCAACAGCCACATCACGTAAAACATATATAAAACTAATACGTATCGTTTGTTTGGTATTAAGTTTGTTTGGTATTAAATTTGCTTGGTATTAACTTTGATTGGTATTAAATTTGTTTGGTATTAAATTTGCTCAAATGACAATGGTAAGAATTCGTATAATTCCTCCCAAGTCAAATTTCTTCTTTTGGTTTCATCTAACTTCGTTTTAAAAAGTTATTTTGTCACATTCCACACCGGAGATGAGAAAAAATAAAATTTAAGTTGAACACTTTTAAGGAGTACTTTTGATTTTAAGGATTCTTCCATATTACAAACTTTTTTATCAGCTTCTTCCAATGAAATCCATGATCTTATATTCAAATTTATTAAGTTATTACAAGCTTCCCAGTTAATCAGCTCAAATGGGTGCCAGCTGGGATTGACTGGGATTGAGCTGGGACTGGGTTCAGGCTGGGATTTGTTCTGATTCTTTAACTGACATGACGCTCTCTATAAAAAAAGGTATTGTCTGAGTAATTTGCATAAAAAACATAAAAAAAAAAAAATATATAAAACAGCATCAAAGCAACGAACTCTGATTTTTAAAATATATAGTTTTACATTTGACTTACCAGTAACAACCTTACAAATGTTTGTTCCTTCAAACTTCTCTTTATTCTTACCGCCAGCCATATTAAATTTTGATTATAAACCATTGGTCAACAACCTGCATTATACATTGTTATTATTATTATAGTTATATTAAAAATTGATACATTTTTTTTTATATTAAAATTTTTTTATATTAAAAAAATTGATACATTTTTTTTATATTAAAAATTTTTATATTAAACATTTATTATATTAAAAATTGATACATATATATATATATATATATATATATATATATATATATATATATATATATATATATATATATATATATATATATATATATATATATATATATATATATATATATATATATATATATATATATATACATATATATATATATATATATATATATATATATATATATATATATATATATATATATATATATATATATATATATATATATATATATATATAATGAAAATTGTGCAACCAAACAATATAATGGACTAAAGTTGCGGCACGTATCCATTTTTATGCAACATGCATATAACTTTACAGGAAAAATATGCTTTAGTTATTATACATTTGGCAGACAGATATTTTTTTAAAATATAAACAATATTCAAACTCTTTGAACCACATGGTTGTTGGAAAGCGATAAATCTGCAGTTAAGCAGCCTAAAATAATTTTATTTTTTCGCTAGTTGCGATCTCGCGTGGAGACATGCTTAAAATGGCGACTTTTTAATATAAACAGAGAATATTTATTGACTTCACTACATACATCAACTATCTTATAGCCTGCTGCTACAAGGAAGTGCTACGGCATCAACTATCTTATAGCCTGCTGCTAAAAGGAAGTGCTGCTACATCAACTGAGGGTTTGGCATGGGGTAGCAATCTTTTTTCTTTCATTGTTTCAAATAATATTATGATGGTTTAAAAAACCTCTAATGACGAGAGCGTACATAAAAAAAACTATTTAATAAAATTCTAAAAAAAAAACTTACTTAAAAAACTGTAAGAAAAATTCAAGCAAAGTCTACTTGTAATTCACACTCATGAAATATTACCGTCATAAAAAAATATCTATTTAATATTTATCTAACTAACTGCATCCTAAGTTAAACAATGTGATATTGTTAAATTGTCAAATTTAACAATATCACATGGTTTAAATTGTCAAATTTAACAAGATCACATTAACTTTTTAAAAAAGCAACAGAAGGCCTTGTAAAGTCACGCATGCGTATTTGAGTTCTCAAAATGCAATGCAAACGGCCGAACTCGTAATGTAGAATTTAAGGTGGAATCAATCGATATTAATTGATAGTTTTTAAACAAATTTTCAACATTGATACAATGTTGATTTTTGGTTATACGACGTCGTGACTAAAAATCAACCGTAAATCAACGTCGAAATAACGTCGTGTGCCCACTGGGGGATGACTAAATATTGATTTTAACATATTTACACTTTTAGTATAGAATTAAAACTGATATGCAGTGCCGGCCTTAGCCTTTTTGCCGCCCTCGTGCAAAATTTGTCCTGCCGCCCCTGAAAATTTTATAAACGTGCTGGTAAATTACATGGAAAATAATAACAAATCGAATTCAAAAATAATACTTTGCAATAAAACGCTACATACAAAGAAACATTTTTTGTTTATGTTTTACACAAAATACATTTAATTTTTTAAATTAATCTTACGAGCCTTCTTATCGCCAAAATCTTTGATAAGGGTTGAAAAATCAAGATTTTCAGCAATATTCTTTTCAATCGATAGGGTTCCTAAACTTGAAAGTCTATCCTGCGACATTGTTGACCGCAGATAGGTTTTTATCAGTTTCATTTTGGAAAAGCTTCTTTCTCTACTCGCTACAGTGACAGGTATTGTTAGCAAAATTCGCATTGCAATCCATGTGTTTGGATACAAATCTTGCATTTTGTGCTGTTTTATAAAGTTTAAAACAATAATAGGAGTAATTTTATCCTTGACCATTTCAGAAAGAAAAGGTTTAATGCTCATCAGTTCATCGCAAAGGAGAATACCATTAATGTCTGATTTTAGATTTACGGTAAGTTTACTTTGAAGAGCTAAACATGATTTTAGAATTTCTTCTATTTTTTGCAAACTATCGACATTATACAAAAAACCGCAAACTTCGGAATAATTCTCCAACTGTATAAATTTTTCTCTCATTGAAATTAAAGATGTTTCTAAAAGAGGATTGAAGAAATCGATTTCTAATTTTTTTTCAGGAGAAAATAAATAAATCCCATCTTGGGCTGGTTCGTCAAAATGGCGTTTCACTCGTATTATTCTTTTAAGTGGTTTAAAAACAGGCTCCACTTGTAATTCTATAGCCAAATTCTTTGATTTTATAATTGCATCTTTAAAACCGCATTTTCTATAGTTTTCTAAAAATGAACAACAGCTTTTCAATAACTTTGCACATTGAGTGATGTCCATGTCTTTTTCTTGAAGAGTTTTACTAACAATATTGACTTGAAAAAGAACGTCATACCAGACAATTAAAGAGACAAGAAAGCTAAAATCTTTTAATTGCTCTCCTACAGTTATCGCTTCACGTGCAGTTTCAGGATTACATCCTTCAATTTCTGACAATGCTATCAAAGCGTCATGTACATCACTTGATAACGAACGACATGTACCAACTTGATAACGAACGGCTTTAACACTACTTATTTTTGCTTCCCACCGCGTGTCACAGAGTTTCTTTAAATGCAAAATTTTAACATGATCAATTAAAATTTTCCATCGGCTCACTGAAGCTGAGAATAGAGTAAACAATCTCTAAAGAATACCGAAAAAAGCTATAGATTTTACTGAAGACCGTGCAGAGTCACTTATTACCAAATTTAAGCTATGGTTGCCGCAAGGAACATATAATGCTAAAGGATTAAGATTTAAAATCCTTTTTTGTACACCATTAATCTTTCCTTTCATATTTGATCCATTATCATACTCTTGACCTCTGCAATTAGAGATTTTAAGTCCATGCTTAGTTAGCAACTCGATTAAAACCTCAGTAAGTCCTAAGCCTGTAGAATCAGAAACAGAAAAGAATCCTAAAAAGTACTCTTTAATTTCCACTCTAATGTCTAATGACAAGTAAACAATTCGAATAGTAAGAGAAAGTTGTTCTTTTCTAGAAATATCAGGTGTACAATCAGCAATGATTGAATAGTAAACGGCTTTCAAGACTCGGTTTATTATTTTATCATTAACCTTTTGAGACATTAAATCTATTAACTCATTTTGAATATTTTTCCCGCAATAATGGTCTGAAGTGTCACCTTTTATTGCAAGTGCTAAATGCTTTTGCATCACAGGATCAAATTTTGCAAGCATCTGTATTAGTCCTAAGAATTTGCCGTTTTGAGGCGTAAACAGTTTATCCGAACTCCCTCGAAAAGCCATATTATTTTCAGCTAGGTAAAGAGTGATATTCATCAGCCGAAGAAGAACATTTTGCCATCGCAAACTGTCTTTTTCTATAATTTTAATTTCTTCATTATCTATAGTTTTTCCAGTTTTTAATCTTATTTCAGTTTCTACCCACTGTTGATAACATTTCATATGAGAGACGTTGTTTTCATGAATTCCCAATGTTTCAGTTAAATGTCTCCATTTCTTGAAACCATCAGAGACTAAGTTTGACTTTGAATTATTATCAAAAAGTAGACAGCAAAAACAAAATACGGAGTTTTTAGAATCTGAATAAACCAACCATCTACGGCAAAAGGTTTCTCCATTCGCAAGCTTTCTGTTGTAATAAATGCTAGAAAAATGTCGACCATTTCTACCTTCAGGGTATTTTTCCTTTGTAATTTGAAAAGGACCAAGTTTGATTAAATGGTCCACAAAGTTGCTAGAACGAACAATTGGCCAATTTCCACAATCCAATAAATTAGGTGTTTCTTGTAAAAAATCTTCCGATAAATCATTCGATTCTTTTAAAATAACTGGTTCATTATCTACTTCAATTTGCAATGAAGTTATACAACTATTTTTGAATATTGTTGAAGGTTCTCCAATTTTATTGGACATAGTCGTAGAGATAGTTGAAGCATCAGGGTTAAAATCTTCACGACCTTCGTTAGGCTTTTTATAAGCAACATATTTTTCAATGCTCATGAATTTTTTAATTTTTTCAAATTTTTGATCTTTAACGGACTTTCTTTTTCTGTACTCATAACCAGACAACTTTTTTCTCGAATTTGAAATTTTATGTGACATGAGACAGAATATTTTTTAAGATAAAATTATTTTTACAATTTAAAAAAAAAAAAAACTTAACAAAGTTCTCAAAACACATTCATAAAATTATTAAAGAAATAAAAAAGTAACTTAACTTACTGAAAATTGTTTAAATCGAGTCAACTTAACATTTAATAACAAAAAATAAAAACTTTTGAACTTCTTTATAAAAAATTTTTTGCAACTTTTCGAAATGACTCTTAGGGTAAATAACGCACAAATGTATATATATATAAATGTATATAGGGTAAATAACGCACAAATACTACAAATTACTATAGAAAATCGTGCGTTAATTAAATAAATGTAGTAATTTTTTGTCTTCAAATTTAAAAAGTGTTTTTTTTTTGCAAAGGTCGTTAAATCTTTTAATTTACTTTAAATTTTTAATATACTACTGGAAAATTAAAACTTGTGACTAATAAAATTCTCCGCCCCTATTTACTTGCCGCCCTCGTGCAACGCACGACCTCGCCCCCCCCCCCCCCAAAAGCCGGCACTGCTGATATGTAAATATTTTTGAACAAAAGTACAATAAAAAAAACCAAATGAAGTTCCTGCATATATTTACTTCTTACTACTTACTTATTAATAGCTCAGCTGAGCTATTAATAAGTTTGAGATATAGTAACGTTTACTTTTTAGACTTGTAAAATATTTTATCAAACTGAAACCATATTCTGTAAATAACAAATGTTTAAAATTTTTTTAAATAGTTTATATGGTTTAGAGTGCTTGGAGTAATGGCTTAATGTGTTTTATTTTAATTTTTTTTTCAAACAAATCTCAAAAACATTTTGAAAAACCAAAGTGATTTTGACAAATTTTTACAAAACATAGCAAAATTTTACTATGTAACACTCCTGTAAGTAAACTTTACATATTATTTATTTTTACGTAAATCATTTAATAAATGGTTTATGTATTTATAAATAATATGTAAGTTTTACATACTTATGAAAAAAATTAAAATCATACATTTATTAAATGTAAGATTTTACATATTTTAGTAATTTAAATAATATATTTCTTATAGTATAAGTAATATATTATCAAACATATAACTTATAGAAAATCTTACATTTTTATTATGCATTTATAAATAAAATTTATAAAATTTTATTATGCATTTATAAATTATAAATTTATAAATCTAAAGTTTATATAAAGCAGTGTCCCTTAGTAAAACCTTACTAATAGTAATAATATTTAAAGTGATAATATTTATAATTTGATTTATATTATTATTATTATTATATAAATATTTCGTCGCTATGAGTAATTACAATACCAAAAAACATGAATAAAAATAAAATATGACAGGGGCAAAAAGAAGGCTGTAGTTGTCTTATCACTAAGCCCCAGAATATATACACCGTAAGTTACAATGCCTATAAAAACTGTAATAATGTAAGTTTTTTTTTTATCGTTAAAATTTACTAAAAATATATTTTAAATAGGGAATAAAATAACAAACCAAAAAAAAAGATCAGCAAAACAAACAAAAAAGACAAAATAAATAAACAAAACAAAAAGCCAGTAATATTATTCGTCATATTTATGGATCTGAATAAATAATCTTAGTAATAAACAATTATTAAAATTAAATTGTTAAACATAATTGTTATGCTGAAAATTATTAATAATAGTACTCTCATTTAAACGCTTTAGAAGAAATTTAGCTCATTGTCGTTTAGTAAAAGATTTTGCTTAAGTTTAGTTTTAAATTGATTAAGTGAAGAAAGTGTTTTAAGGTCATTATTTAAAAGTGTATTCCATAATTTAGGACCTCGGTGTGTGATTGAGTATTTAGTGGCAGAATAATAGGTTTTGGATTAAGAATAGTTATTATTTGAAAATCTTGTGCTGTATATATGATTTATTTTTTTAAATAGAGTTGAATAAAAGTGGTGCCATTTTTTTATAAAGTTTAAACATAAATATAAGAATATGATAGAGATTTAATTTAAAAACATTTAGAATATTAAGTTTGCTAAAAAGTATTTTTGTATGAGAGAAGCGATTTTCATTTGTAATAATCCTAATGGCATGTTTTTGTTTGCAGAGAAGTTTACTTAGTTTTGTAACATCGATGCTGCACGAAGCAATGTTAGCATAGTTTAGGTAACAGTGTATAAATGAATAGTATATTTATTTAAGACAAGATCGGTTTAAGAACTGTTTAGCTTTATTCAATATTCCAATATTTTTAAAAATTTTATTCTCAATTTACACTTATATGTTCTCTCCACGTAATATTTTTATCGAGAATTACGCCTAAAAATTTTAGAGACATTTTCCTTTTTATTATATTTTTATCAATAAAAAGATTTGGAAGTTTTAATGGAATATTTTCTTTTTTATGAATACGATGTATTCACAAATAATGTGTATTTGGTTTTAGCAATGTTTAGGGATAATTTATTGGATTTAAACCCTTGGGTTAGTTTTTCAAGTTCTTTTTTAACTGTTAAGAATAAAATATTAATGTCTTCATGAGAATAAAATAAATTAGTGTCATCGGAGAATAAAATTGTGTTTAAAATATTAGAAAATTTATATAAGTCATTGACATAAATTAGAAACAAAAAGGGCCCTAGAATTATCCCTGGGGAACACCGCAAGTGTTGATCATATTATCTGTTTTACCACCATCGTAAGAAATATATTGCTTCCTATTAGACAAATAACTATTAAACCAAGCCAAGTTTGAATTTTTGATGCCATAGAACTCGAGTTTGGACAAACGAGTTAAATGATCGAGGCTTTACTTAGATCTATGAAAACACCTAAAGTTAATTTTTTCTCATTAAACCCTTTAAATATATCATGGACAAGATGTAAGATTGCGTGATCAGAAGAATGATCAGATTTAAAACTAAGTTGTTTGTTGTACAAAATATTATTTTGAATTATTTTGAAAGAACAGAGTCTATTGTACATAATTCGTTCTAGAACCTTTGAAATACAAGTAAGAACAGAGATTGGTCTATAATTAGTAGCGTCATTAGGATCGCCTGATTTGAAAATTGGGACCACCCTAGCAATATTTATTTTTTCCGGAAAAACTCCCTCTTTTAAAGATAAGTTGAAGATATACAAAAGCGGGATTGAAATAAGTTTGATTAAACTTATAATGATGTTACCATTTATATTGTCAACACTTATACTTTTTTTGGGCTTATTCGAAGACACTGCGCATAATAATTCTTCTTCAGTTAGAATATCGTTAGGCATAATATTAGTTTTATTAGAGACTAAATTTGCATCAAAGTTGATCTTAGTGGGTTCAATTTTTGGTGCTAAGGACGGACCAATATTAATAAAAAATTCATTAAGTGTTTCAGCCACTAATTCTTTTTTTATAACATAGTTATCTTTGAATTTAAGAAGTTTTGAAAAAGTATTTCTCTCTGGATTATTTTTACCAATGATTTCCTTGATAATGCGCCATGTACTTTGTGGGTCTTTTGAATGCTTTTTTAACTGATCTGAATAATAGTTTTTTTTTTTTATCTTTTTATAATTGACTCAAAGAGTCGTTTGTTGTTTTTATAATTGCTTTCATTACATAGGGTTTTTTTTAAGAAATTTATTATATAATCGTTGTTTTATTTTAGAAGATTTAAGAATACCCTTAGTTATCCAAGGATTTAATAACGTTTTTGATTTAACTAACTTTGTAATTTCAAGAATGTTTTGTTATAATATTTATAATATCCTGATATAAAAGTATTGTAGAATTTATCAGCGTTTAGATTCAAAGTCATCCCAGTTAACACTTGATAAAAGGTCATGAAAGTGGTTGACTGAAGAGTCGTTTAGTATTCTTGTTTTTATTTCTTTAATTTTTTTGTTTTTTTGGTAATCACTTTTATTATATTTTTGGGCAACGATGAATATGGGAAAGTGATCAGAAATATCTGTTTTAATTATTCCTGTTTTTATCTTTATATTTATGAAGTCATTGGTGATAATTTGATCTATCGAAGTTTCACTTTTGTTGGTTATGCGAGTAAGTTTATTGATGACAGGAATGTAGCTATTTTCAAAAGTGACGTTAAAAAATTGTTTAATCTTTATCTTTGAGTCATAATCCAAATTATTAAGGTTGAGGTCACCATGGTGACCTGGTTGGTGACCAGGTCACCATGGTGACCTGGACCATGGTTGCAACCATGTAGACAGTTTTATTTTTAATAGAATTGATTTTAATGACTTTTTTAATGTGGTCTTCAAACACTTTAATAGAACCTGAAGGAGGTCTGTATAAAGCATGGATAATTATATTTTTGGAGGTTTTATTTAACAAGTTCAATGCACAATGACTCATAATCATTAGTGGTTGAACTTAAATCTGACTTAACTTAATACAATAATGAGTTTTTGATAAAAATACACAAATCCTCCTACCTTGCCCGAGGTCCTAATTTGGTGAATCACTTTATAGTTTGGTAAATGGAAATTGTAATTGTTCTCAAAATTTTTATCATCACACCATGTCTCGCTGAGACAAATAATTTAAAAATTCATATTATTTTTATATAAAAGTATAGTTAAAAGTCTCCATTACAAATAGATATTATAAATACAGTAGCAATTGAAACAGCTGAGAGAGCTAGAAGAGAAAACAATGTTATTGTCTTTGGTTTAAATCATTCCGTAAAAAGTGATCTAAATGAACGAAAAGAAGATGATGAAATAGAGGTATTAAAAGTCATAAAAGATATAAATTTAGAAAGTGTGCAAATCAAAAGAATTACAAGACTACGATCAAAGGATATGTCACAAAAGTCCCCAGTTATTTTAGAACTTGATAACGTGCATGCAAGAAACCAAGTGCTAAAAGCAGCTTTTCGTAACAGGGATAAAATACC